GGGAGTGGCACTATTAAGAAGTGTGGCTTTGTTGGAATGGGTATGGCCTTGTTGGAGGAAGTGTGTCACTGTGGGACCAGGCTTTGAGGTTTCCTATGCTCAGGACACCACCCAGTGTCTCAGTTGACTTCCTGTTGCCTGTGAGATGTAAGACTTCAGTTACTTTTCCAGCACCACGTCTGCCTGCACACTGCCATGCTCCCCATCATGATAATGGGCTGAACCTCTGAAACTGTAAGTGAGCCACCCCAATTAAATGTTTTATTTATAAGAGTTGCCGTGGTCATGGCGTCTCTTCACAATAATAAAAACCCCAACTAAGACACCAAGTGTGATAGGTCCCAGTCATGCTTGCGCAGACCTTCCTTACAAACACAAGCAGACTCTATCTGAACAGGACAGCTAAGACCCTGCTCCAAAGCAGATGCAGTGGACCAGCAGCAGGCCTCTGAGCTCAAGAGCAGGTTCAGGAGCTCTGGTTTCAGGGGTACACACCCACTGGCAACAGTAAGGCCCCCGCTAGGAGAACTGGCCCAGCACTCCCAAGTCTGTAGTCCTGTCTTCAGACCCTTGGGTTCAGCCATGCATGCTCTCCAACAGAGGCTATAAGGACCCCCTCCATGGGGCACAGGGACAGGCCCGCAACGCAGGGGTGGTCAGGGCCTTGGGAAAGCAGCCCTGGGAGGCTGATCACAGAAAGGCAAGGAGTGACTTGGAAAAGCTAACTTGGGGGCCTAGCTGGCTAAACTTTCAGGAGAAGTGAACAAGTCTCTATTCACCCCAGATGGAGCCCCAGTAACAGACCAAAGTACAGTTCTGCCAAAGTCCAACTTGGTGAACTAATGAGATTCTGGGTGGTGATATCCAGGAGCATGGAGACCCCAAACAGCTACATCACCACAAAGTCCCACCCCATCACAGATGAGGATCTCATGATAATGGAGCCCCACTTCCCTATTTCCTGTATACTCCAGCATCCTGTAAGATCTCTGCTGCTGGGGACAGCAAGGAGAAATAATGGCTGGAATCCCAGGGCCCACCCAGCCTTCTCCCCTGGGGTGTCATCCCCCTTACCATGACCTTAGACCTGGTTATCTGTGACTAATTTCCACAACTACCTACACCACATCTCTACACCACTGTAAGATGGTGGCAGAGTGAACTATGACACAGAGCCACAGGCCACTGACCTTTGGGGACTGGATCCCGGCGGCCAGGACTCTGGGGTCCCAGAACATCTCATTTTCTCTGACAGTTAGCCCTGTGACTTCAGTTTCCTGAGATACACACCAGTTCCTGGCTCTGTCACGATGATGGGGACAACTATGGAGAGTGAGGTGATCTCCCTAGTCAGTATACTTTGGTCATCTCCAGGCTGAACCCCAAAGTTGACATGGGAACCTCCCTTCCACCTCCTCGGGCATAGGTGAGTGCTCCCCTACCTCTGGGCTCCCAGAAGGTGATGGCATCCATCATCAGAGTCCATGGGCCAGGCGGTGGTGGCACATGCCTTTAATCCCAACACTCAGAAGGCAAAGGCAGGTGGGTCAGCCTGGTCAGCCAGGGCTACACAGAGAAACCTTGTTTCTAAAATAGGAAGGGAGGGAGGGAGGGAG